AGAAACGTATATAAAACAGGAGAAACGTATCTAACACAGGAGAAACGTATCTAACTCAGGAGAAACGTATATAACACAGGAGAAACGTATATAACTCAGGAGAAACGTATATAACACAGGAGAAACGTATATAACACAGGAGAAACGTATATAACACAGGAGAAACGTATATAACTCAGGAGAAACGTATATAACACAGGAGAAACGTATATAACACAGGAGAAACGTATATAACACAGGAGAAACGTATATAACACAGGAGAAACGTATATAACACAGGAGAAACGTATATAACACAGGAGAAACGTATATAACACAGGAGAAACGTATATAACACAGGAGAAACGTATATAACTCAGGAGAAACGTATTTAATGCAAGAGAAACGTTTATGACGTAAGAGAAACGTAATCAGTTTGGGCAATACGACAAAAGCTGACGGTCGCACTACAGTAGTGTTTCGATAGATGAAAATCGCGTCTTTGTTCTGCAATTGCCCCTGAAGTGTCTACGATCGTATCCGGAAGTTTATTTGACAGAAATTTCATCGACGGAAAATTGATCGACGGACATTTTTTTATTATTTTTTTTTCAGTCAACGCGATAAAATTTTGCGTCCAATTTCTTTTTGTACGCACTATGCCAGTGATTCTCAACCTTCCTAATGCCGCGACCCTTAAATACAGTTTTGCGTGTCGCGGTGACCAGCAACACAATTATTTTTGTTGCTACTTCATAATTGTAAGGATATGTGTTTTCAGATGGTCTTAGGCGATCCCAGGGAAAGGGTCGTGCGACCCCCAAAGGGGTCGCGACCTACAGGTTGAGAACCGCAGCACTACGCTTATATAATAATAATAATAATAATAATAATAAAGTTCATTTCAAAAACACGCTTCATCCCCAAAGGCTCGAAGCGCGGTACAAAGTCAACAAAAAACAAATCTATAATTTACCACATTTAAAACAAACGCAACACTACAAAAACTAATTACTAGCATACAATTGCAAAGTCTTTCTAGCCATTTCAACCCCAAGCAACACAGCCATTATGCATTAACTGGAAAATAAGGTTGACAATCATCCCAGAAGGTGTTTGCGAAATAGGTGTGTCTTTAAATCGGTTTTAAAGGACTCCAGTGTCTGGTTGTTTCTGAGATCGACTGGAAGGGCGTTCCAAATTGTTGGACCAGCAAATGCGAAAGTGCGCTTTCCGTAAGTCTCAAGGCAAACACGTGGTGTCGAGAGTTCGCCACTATCGGATGAGCGGAGCTCTCTACTGGGTTTCATAAGGCGTCAGCAGCTCTTTCAGATAGGACGGCGCCAGCAGCTCTTTCAGATAGGACGGCGCCAGGTCATGTAAGCACCGGTAGCAAAAAGTTGCGATTTTGTACTCTATGCGAGCACGCCCCGGCAGCCAATGCAACTCTCTCAGAAGTGTTTTTGCATGGTCGAACTTGCATAGTCAAATTAAATAATATCCCTTGTCAGTATGAACGTTTACTTAACTCGTCGTGACCTGGTGATGCATGGGCGTCTCTTGCGGTTCCACGGAGTGGGAATTCTGCGTCTGCTATTGAACACCGCATAAACCGACTGATCAAGGAAGCTAGGAACATAACACAAACTGAAGACCCTTCACGTGAAGAACTATTTGAAGAAAGATGTTATTGTAAAACTAAACACATTTTGGATGATACATCCTACTGATCCCACCCTCTTCATCACAGATAATCAGGATCGGCCCGTTCGGGACGAATTCTTTCCGTTAGGGCGAGGACTGAAAGTTAGATAATTTCTTTTGTTCCCCAATCTGTACGATTTTACCAGCGTGCTCCTCCCCCCCCCCCCCCCCCCCCATCAAGTCACAAATCTTGATGAGAGCTATTAAGTCACTGAATGGCTGGAGGTTTTTTTTTACTAGTGAAATAGTTTATTAATATAAATGTCTTGTGTTCAAATTTTTTGTTTATTTATGTACTGAAAATGCTCAATGCTATCATAAAACATTTCCATTTGTTTGGATCAATAAAGGAATCGCATTTTATCTTATTTCATTATTATTCTATTTCTTCCCTTGAATGGGTCTGCATCTTGTTAATTAAAAAAAAAAATATTTAACAAAAAAATATTGTTACTTTTTATATTATTGTTTATCTATGTTTTTTGTTTTTTATTTTATCCACTTGTTTATTTCTTTTACACAATTAATTTTAAAAAATTCATTTGAATGACGATGTGTAAATGTATGTGTGTCCTGAAAGCCAGTGCCGTCTTTATTTATTTATTGAGGCATTTTGATATAGCGCTTACCTTAAAGCTCTAAGCGCTTTACAATTATTAAAAACACCAGCGGAGGCCATGGGCAGAGTATTGCACTGAGGCCCCTAACGGGCACAGTATTGCACTGAGGCCCCTAACGGGCACAGTATTGCACTGAGGCCCCTAACGGGCACAGTATTGCACTGAGGCCCCTAACCCTTGATATACTCAGGTCGGTGTGAGGGCGGGGTAAGAGGGCCAATGACCCCTGGTGCCTGTAACAAGGGGCTGCAAAAAGTGAATAAAACGATACAATTCCATGCACTTCACAATAGATGGAGGCGGTAAAATCGTCTTACTGATACGCCATAGGCACGGCTTTTCCTGAGAACGGCTTTCTCTATATAGCCTCATTTTCAAGCAATGTTATGAAAAACGTATTGCGTATGCGTTTTCATTAGTTTCTGTCAGGTAATTTTTCCGCGGGGGTGGGGGGGTGGGGGTGGGGGGTGTGGAGGTAGTATTTCAGGCAGTCTTTTGAGTGGGGGGGGGCGGTGGTGGCGGCAAGGCATCCATCAGCACCAAAATAAGAAATGTTGATGCCAAGGCCCAGCTCTGACTTCGTCGCTGCAGCCATAAATAATCAGAAAATAGGGGGTGGGGGTGGGGGGTGTGGAGGTAGTATTTCAGGCAGTCTTTTGAGTGGGGGGGGGCGGTGGTGGCGGCAAGGCATCCATCAGCACCAAAATAAGAAATGTTGATGCCAAGGACCAGCTCTGACTTCGTCGCTGCAGCCATAAATAATCAGAAAATTCTGTCAACTAGCAGAAGAAAGCCCTCATGAGGGCATGCTTTTATTTTAGCGTTGTTTCGTCTCTGGACTCTTCATAGTCTATGTCAGTCAAACTAAAGGAAAATCATAATTTTGTCCGCTAAAAAAAAAAATCACTGTATTTACTTACGTCTAACGCTTATCTTTTTCTTTTAGATTCAAATGTGTCGGTACTGTGACTTTAATTGGGGGGCGGTAGAAGAGATTTAGGGCGCTGAAACGAAACCCGGGGGTAAAGCTTGGAGAGCGGTCTCAGTAAGGCATAGGTTTGGAGAGCGGTCTCAGTAAGACCCTCCCTAGATAATTTTTTAACAATTCAAAATGATTGGATGCTTCACTCTAGTTTTGTATTATTCTACACTCAACCGCCAAGCAACAGAAGCTAGTTTGAATTTAGTTTCTAACGACCATGCCTAAGTTATTCAATTCCTGTTTGTTTGTTTGTTTAGTTGCATCTAAATAATAATGTTTTTTCATAATTTTATTTGGTAACATTTTCGTTTTTTTTATTAACTGTTTCATTAATGAATGAATATATAAAATTATTTTTTTAAAAATTCAGTTCAAAACAGGTAATCATTAATTTAAAAAAAAATAACAAAGAATATATGAGCATGTAAGTAAAATAATTATCATTTCAGATTTAATTAAAAATTTACAGTTAATAATAATTATAATAAAGTTTATTTGAAAATCACGCTTCATCCCCACAAGCTCTAAGCCCGGTAAAAAGTCATCCATTTTAAAAGAGAAATGAAATGCAATATATATTATACCACAATGAAATACAAAAAGCAAAATTACAAAACCATATACGAGAATACCCATTCTAATTCTTTCATCCCTAGGAGACAATAGCCAGCTGTAAAAGATGGTCGACAACATCGCCAAAGCAGGTGTTTGAGAAATAGATGTCTTTTCAATTCGGTTTTGAAAGTCCCCAGTGTCTGGCTGTTTCAGAGAGCGTCAGGAAGTGTGTTACAAATTGTTGGACCAGCAAATGCTAAAAATTAGAGGAAAAAATACTATTTTGTATACAATGCCTATAGACCTGTTTCCCAGCGTGGAGCCTAGGCGACACAGAGGGGGAGGGGGGGGGGTTGGTAATTTGATTGTTTGATTTGGGGGGGGGGG